CGGCTGTCCCCGCGGGCAGGGGAGTGATGCGGACGAACCAGAGTATGAGCCGCAAAGTCTGGCAGAAACGAGACGAGTTACACGACTGTGTCCGTCCACTCTACTGTTGAGCGCCGCCGTGGGCCGGGGGTGGGGCGGGCGCCGCATTTTGGTGCTTCCTGCTGACCAGAGATTGCGCGGTGTTCCTGTCACGCCCCGCCACCGAAATGTGGCGAGGCCACCGATAGGAATTGGGAGGGTCGGCGTCGAGTCCTCTGGCCCCCTGGCCGCTCAGGTTCCTCCAGACGACGCCCTCCGCCCACCAACCTCACCGCCCTCTGTAGTAGGTGTCAGAGGTGTCAGAGGTGTCAAAGTGTCCCTCCCCACAACGACGTACGCCGTCGCTGATTGGACCGTCTAGAAGGACCGACAAACTGCCGATCAACGACGACCTATCACACGGACCTACTACACACCTCTACTCCACAATAATGCTATCTGTAAACAACCCAACCTTCTTTAGTGCAGTAGCTCATTTGACGAAAGTTTGTCAAAATAACAAGAGAAAATTCGCGAAAGAAAATGTTTGCAAAGTCGGGAAACGGCAGACGTAATCTACATTAGCAGAGTTCACGAAGTCTGCGTGCTCACGGACTGTCTCTCACCCGGGCATGACGCCTAGGTGAAGGAAAGGTTGGGCGGGTGTGGATGGCGGTAGAGGGGAAAAAACAGCAGAATATTCTGCAAATTTAAGCTTATAAAAACAGGAGGCAAAGAAAGTAAGATGAAATTGAGTATGATATGTTGAAGTGGCCATGGCGTCACGCACAATGTTTGCACGAGATAATCAGGACATTTAGAACCATAAAATGTTAGTAATATTTAGTTTCCCGAACATTGTGCTTTGGCGTGGCTTGACCTAACCCACGCCGCCGCTGCAAAGTTTGCACGATGTAGTGCGTCGGCGTCGGGGCAGTCAGAGCCGGGGTGGCGCGGTGGCGGGCCCGAGGGCGGGTCGGGTGGGTGGCTGCGCCGGCTGCGCTGCCCTTGCACAAAAGGCGTGCGTTCGAAACTCGGCCCGCAATTGCACCGCGCAAACTCACCTGAGCAACTACAGAGATAGAGAAGCGTCCTGAGGCCACACCTGGGCGGGAAAGGGGAGGGGGGGGGGCTCGAGCGGAGACTCTATCATCTTAACGCAGTGCTCTGGTATAACGACACTTCCCATCCCACTTTCCCTAGATGCCAGCATAACAGGTGGCGAAGTCAGCCCTCCTGGGGTCAGACGGTGCAGCATGCACTTGCAAAACGTCCAATATTGTGGACCACAGGCCCCCGGGAGCACAATTTAGTTATTCCGAGTTATTCTGTGCTACAGTAACAATCAGGCGTGTGACCGCGTTGCCTATTCGCCAACGAGACGGGGTGGTCTGGGCTGGGCTTGCTTGTCGATCACCACGCCTGGCGAGTAGGCAATAGCGCGGTCACGCGTCCGTAGGCCACCCTGTCTACGTAGGCAGCCTCTGCCGCCGCGTCGCTCACTCGAAACAATAAACCATTTTTCTGGGTGTGCATGACTTAGACCCCCAGTTTCACTGTTAAAAATTTCCACGGAATTTTGAACGGAATCGTCAAGAAATTTTTTTTACGGTATGTACCGTAAATTTTCCGTATTTTTACGGAAACGGGTTGCACCGTAATTTGAAATACGGACAAGTCCGTATCTTTAAATTAGAATCATCCTGTTACGGTTTCGTACCGTATTTGGAATTTACGGTGAGTTCCGTAAGAATTCCGTAATTAGACTACGGAATTTCTAACAGTGAATTCCACGGTGTCACCATGCCCACGCATTCTTTGAAATGGTGGCTGTCACTCGTCCGCGCTCGCTACTGAGTTACCTGGTGTTTGCGGCCCAAACGCTGCCGTCCCCAGCCCAGCTCGGCCAGGCTCGGCCCACCCGCCGGCGGTCGCGCGACTCCTGCGCCGCCCGCCTTGTGGGCCCACCCGCGAACATGAGCAAAAAGAGCTGACAGCTCATAAGCATTATCAACCGAAAGAAAAGGATGCATTATCGTGCGCACGTCATGTCGGACACACACACACCCAGCGATGTCACGAATTTGTGGCGAAAAGGGCGCTTTAAAAGCCGGGCAGACACCTCGGAACGTCGTCAGTCGCACCTCGCCTCCAGTTCCGAGTGCTTCATTTACCACCAAAAACAATCGGTGAGTAGATGCACCATCGCGGCCACCGTCGACCAGCCCCCTACCAACCAGCGCTTACGAGGCTCTCCTCTCGCCCCCAGCGCCATGAAGCTGTTCAAGACCGCCCTCTTCCTGGCCATGCTCGCCCTGGCCGCGGCGAGGCCGGCTGAGACACAGGACGACGGCTACGAACCCGAGCCCGCCGCGGGTGGTGCCGGGGGCGGCTCTGGCGGCATCGGGGGCGGCTCCGGCGGCATCGGCGGCGGCTCTGGTGGCATCGGAGGCGGCTCCGGCGGGATCGGGGGCGGCTCCGGTGGCATTGGAGGCGGCTCCGGCGGCATTGGAGGCGGCTCCGGCGGCATCGGGGGCGGTTCCGGCGGCATCGGAGGCGGCTCCGGAGGCATCGGGGGCGGTTCCGGCGGCATCGGAGGTGGCAACCACGGTGGTCTCGGAGGCCTCGGCTCCGGCGGCCTCGGCGGGGGTGGCATCCACGGCGGCATCACCTACCCGTCAATCCCCGGCGGCTACCCCAAGAACCCCAAGGAGTACTACGACGCCTACCAAAAGATGATCAAGCTCTGCAAGGAGTCGTGCGGCGACTACAAGCGCTGTAAGTACAATATGCTCCGTCCCGCCCGACCGCGGCGCCTGCCTTAGACCGCACACGGAAGAAAAGTCGTTTAAGAACCCTAAACTTGCTGAAGTTGTTGCTTGTTTATAGTTATTTCTTTTCTTTCTTTAAAATTGTGTACCCGTCCTGGAATTTTCCGACCCGCTGCCTGAAATACCCCGCTATGTCCCCGCTTGCAGGCATCGAGATCTTCAAGTCGTACAAGCCCGCCGACAGGCCCCCCTACTAGTCCCGGACCCGGACCAGTTCCTGGGCCTCACAGACGGAGCCGCCGCCCGCGCCTATAACGCCGCCATGGCCGCCTGCAGTCCGTTGACTCCTCGCCGCCAGCCCGATAAGAAGACACACGCATGTTCAGGCGGGGCATTCCTCTGCGCGGGATGCGGCCCGGCCGGGCTGCCCACCACTGTATATCATGAACGCACGCAATAACATATTAACAAATCACAAACGGACTTGCCATCAATTATTTACTACCCATTAGTTTACAGTTTGTTCACGGAAAAAAAGTGTTAGTTGTGACAGCTTATATGTTCGCTGGCAGTGACGCGCGTTCGTCAAGAGAGCCGAAAGCACATTAGTTGGGACAACTACTCTGGAAACTCGGGTGTGAGACAGTCTCACACCAAATGGTGTGAGGCAAAATACCTCACACCAAACGGTGTGAGGCAAACATACCTCACACCAAATGGTGTGAGACTGGTTGTGTCTCACACCATGGTTGTGTCTCACACCAAATGGTGTGAGACTGGTTGTGTCTCACACCATGGTTGTGTCTCACACCAAATGGTGTGAGACTGGTTGTGTCTCACACCAAATGGTGTGAGACTGGTTGTGTCTCACACCATGGTTGTGTCTCACACCAAATGGTGTGAGACTGGTTGTGTCTCACACCAAATGGTGTGCGACTGGTTGTGTCTCACACTTGCTCCATTTGCTGTGAGGCACAACGAGTCTCACACCATTTGGTGTGAGGCACAACGAGTCTCACACCATTTGGTGTAAGGTATGTTTGCCTCACACCGTTTGGTGTGAGGAATTTTGCCTCACACCGTTTGGTGTGAGGAATTTTGCCTCACACCATTTGGTGTGAGACTGTCTCACACCTGCGTTTGCAGAGTAACACGATTATAGTTGGGACAACTAACACGATTAGTTGGGACAACACATTAGCTGCGGGACGACTAATGGGGCACCAGTGAAAAAATATTCTTTTAAATACGTATTTTCATTTAACTCTTAAAGGCCCGCGACCAGAAGCTGCGATCAAAAAAAATATTTTTCTTGAAATTCTTTTTATTTACCACCCAAATAGACGAGAACATCAAAGAAATCCGAAATTCGGCCGTAAATAACGAAATTACCAACATGTCGTTTATAAACGACAAGGGGCAAAAGGGTATAGAGAAAATTTGACAATCTCTAATATGCTGACTTTTTGGTCAAAATTGGTGTCATTGTGTGGGTCTCAACTCAAATGTGAGGAATATGAAAAATAAAATTCGCATTTTCGCCCTCGGGACCCGGGAAATGGGATAAACCGTATAGAGGGTCGCCTGCTCCAATCGGCTCCGGGCCCGTTTTCGGCGGCCTCTGTTCGACAAGTTTGGGTCGGGAAATAATTTTTTTTTCGTGGGAAGGGTTTACCGCCCAAGTGGTTGCCCGCTCTCAACTGGAAAAAGTCGTGACTATCAAATTTGCCTCGGCAATAGGGGGCCAAAAGTAAGGAAAAGCTTAAAAAGCATATGTCGTTTATAAACGACACTGGGCCTTAGGGGGAGGTGTGGGTGCCAATCGCCCTCCGAGGCGCCGAATACGATCGCAAATTGATCAGTACCCTCCAAGACAAAATACTCTAATAGGCATGTCCCTTGAGAAATATGCGTATTGGGTCCCTGAAAATAAGAACAACAGTGTAAAGAAGCGCCTGCTCCAATCGGCTCCGGGCTTGTTTTCGGCGGCCTCTGGGCGAAAAGTTTGGGTCGGAAAATATTTTGTTTTTTTGTGGAATGGGTTTACCGACCAGATGGTTGCCCGCTCTCAACTGTAAAAAGTCGTGGATATCAGATTACTTCGACAATAGGAGGCCAAAAGTGTCGTTTATATACAACATATGCTTTTTACGCTTTTCCTAACATTTGACCCTCTATTGCTGAGGCAAATTTGAATGTCTTCCCTTTTCCAGTTGAGAGCGGGCAACTATATAAATATTTTCCGACCCAAACTTTTCGCCCAGAGGCCGCCGAAAACAAGCCCGGAGCCGATTGGAGCAATGTTCAGTGACCCAATACGCATATTTCTCAAGGGACATGCCTATTAGAGTATTTTGTTATGTCTTGGAGGGTACTGATCAATTTCCGATCGTATTCGGCGTCTTAGAGGGCGATTGGCACCCACACCTCCCCCTAAGGCCCAGTGTCGTTTATAAACGACATATGCTTTTTAAGCTTTTCCTTACTTTTGGCCCCCTATTGCCGAGGCAAATTTGATAGTCACGACTTTTTCCAGTTGAGAGCGGGCAACCACTTGGTCGGTAAACCCTTTCCACGAAAAACAAATTATTTCCCGACCCAAACTTGTCGAACAGAGGCCGCCGAAAACGGGCCCGGAGCCGTTCGGAGCAGGCATCCCTCTAGACGGTTTATCCCATTTCCCGGGTCCCAAGGGCGAAAATGCGAATTTTATTTTTCATATTAGTCACATTTGAGTTGAGACCCACACTATGACACCAATTTGGACCAAAAAGTCAGCATAATAGGGATCGTCAAATTTTCTATACCCTTATGCCCCTTGTCGTTTATAAACGACATACCGTTTTTCTCGTTTCCCAACGAGCCTATTTGAGTTAGACCATTATCGCGCGAGTAGTCGGCTTCAGTAAGTGTTAGGGCACCTCGGAATAATTTTTTCGAAGTGACCCGACCAATGGGTCTTACATGGGTCACATCCGAAAACGCTCAATTTCACGATTTGCCTTTTTAGCGTGTTTTTTGACTTTGAAGGCTTATAGTTTTGGCAATAGAGGTCTCAGAACGTCGAGAGGGCCTTAGATCGATTCCCCGAAACCAGCTCTACAAAAAGCAACCCTCGAAACCCGAAAAATGTCTCATCATCCCGGTGATATCTGTGATTTTCCACTATGTATTTTATAAACGACAAGGGCCTTTAAGGGTTAAAAGAACACATTAGAGTGGCAGTTTCCGACTCTCTTCGGCTCGGCTCGGCTGGGCTGGGCTCGGCTGGACTCGGCTCGGCTCGACCGGTCACGAAGTCATGTTGTGAAGTACGAACAATGCCTCGCCGCTGGCCGCTAATTCACAGCGGCATCATTTTATTGAGAGTTCGAGAAAGATCCGACACCCGGCATCTGCACAGCAGCGGCGCGGGTGCGGGGAGTACGAGCCGGGCCGGTGAGCTGCGGGCGCGGGCGCCGCGGTGTTGCGCGTGCGAACGGGGAGGGGGAGGGTGGGGAGGGGAGGAGCGGAAGGGGAAGACCCTCGCAGCAGCCCTCGCCCCGCGGCCAGCATGTCCTGCCAGCCTCCGGCTCAGATAACAACAAATAACGTGGGTGTTTCCCCGCACATATAGCGACTTCGTTTGCGCCGATTAGAGAAAATCGGAATGAGAATCGGATCGTTATTTCGGTCGACATTGTGAAACGGCATAAGGGGCAGTTCTTCAGTACCAAAACTTTTGTGCTCTTTAACTGGAGGTGCCCGCTGATAGATTTGGCCTTCCCCTCCAAAGCATTAAACTTAAAAGCACCCCGCTTCATATAATGCTAAGTCTCAAATGACAAAAATAGCTAGAACTGAGCTACAAAAGTATTCCTTGTTTGGAAATCCATTCAAATGTTCCAAACATTGATGACACAAATCTCTGAATCCCTGAATCTTCCCTCCAGCCTCATGACCACCACTCCCCCCCTCCCCACCCGGGGGCGCAGCGGTGGCGGAGATACGGCGACGAATATCTGACGCAGCAGCGGATCGGGCACTCACCGTCGTCGCCTATCCGTGCCCCGTGCCTATCCATAAGCCCTAGTGGTCATAGAGTTGCCAGCCTCGGTCCGCCGGCAACTCCATTCGGTACTTGACCTGCCGGCAACTAACAGTTACTACATAATTGAATATACTTTGTTAAAATTTGTTGTCAATTGACAAGAATTTTTGGGGATGAATAATCCATCTTCGGGGGATTATAAATGTCTATGAAATTTTATCACTATTTGTCAGTTCTGACAAATAATTCTATCAAAATGAAAATTTGTTTGTCTTTCATAGTTCATTTTTGTCCGAGGGGTGCCCAACTGTGGTAATCAGGTGTACACAGAGTTGGTAACCACTGGTAATCACTGGTAATCTAGGTCTTGACGGTCCTTTCAAAGGACAAATTTGTTGATTGAGGGCCCATTTACGATCGTTCGCGGAACCTTAAATTAAATTGACCAACGCGTTGTGGCTTATGGGAGTATCTACGATGCCAGCCCCTTAAATGAAATTCATTTCTTGTCGAAATACGGCTCACGCTTAAATGAAATGAAGACCGTCGTGATGGTCTTCATTTCATTTAAGCTAGTCCTTAGCTTAAATGAAATTCGGATTTCGGGCGCGAGGTTTCGAAACAGCCAATCAGAGGCCAAGACGAGACTAAACAAAGATGGCGCCGACGACAAGTGACAATCGATTCTGTCATGGCGGGGACTATAATTTTATTTAAGCTAAGGACCACCGTAAATGGGAGGTTCCATTTAACCCCAAAAATTAATAAATTTCTGCAGAAAATGCAATTTCATTTAAGACAGCCCGGACGATCGTAAATGGGCCCTGAGACGTGCATTTTTGCGCACACATCTTGTCTAAATGCAAACGCCCATGTTTAATATGATGTATTTGCACCCCTCCCATGGACAAAAAACATAATTTTTCCAATTTTGTAACTTGCAAGATAAAGAATTAAGAATTACCTAAAATGTGCACGAAAATGCATCTTTCTCGGGACAAAAAATTGTTGTTTCGATTTAGAATGCAGGCGAATCATTCCTAGTAGTCATTGGTAATCTTTGGTAATCATTGGTAATCCTTGGTAATCTTTACAATTTGATAATCCGGTGTACACATTTGGAGTTGGGCACCCCTTTTTTGTCCCAGTTACAAGGCACCTTCGGTTCTACGGTACGGTACAGGGTGCAATATACGGTTCTGCTTCGCTCTAGCTGACTGTTGACTTGCCACGCTCTAGTGATGTTAATAAAGAAAACGATATTCGACAAAAACGGTGCACTGTCCAGTTTCAATCATATATTTCGCCACGCAGCAATAATAACCATTAACCGCCATAAACATTATAGTACTACTGGCTGAGTTTCGGAACAACCTTAGCATCTGCCACCAAGCATGCGTAGTGGATTTCAGCTTTTCCAAACATGAGTCTGAACCTATACTGACCATAAGGTAGGATTGGAAAATTCGGAAAAGTCCAGTCAACTGAGTCATTATTGAGCTCGTAAACTCCCTGTAAATAACAGTCATAATAGCCTTCACATTTATAATTCATTCGGGTTTGAAGCGCCGCAACATTTATCACTATCAAAACGTACCAGAAGAATAATTACTTACAGTTTTAAATAATCTTGCGTCTATATCTTCCCCCCTCTTGAGAACCCGCTCGTAAAATCCAGGAATATTTTGTTTAAGAGACCGATAGGCCCCTTTAAGACGGACGACAAAGGCGTTTTCCTTCCACTGATTATTTGACCGAACAACCACAAGTGCTTTCATCTGTTAAGAAAGATTATTCCGTTTGTAATACATTCTCGCATTTTTGCACATTTCCAACGTCTGCTCTGTAAATATGGGGCCCCCAAGTTCTTAGAAGTGTGTGCCGCAATTTTACAAACAAAAGTGTGTGACCATTGTGTCATGCATACAAAAAGTTTCTGACTAATGGAGTAAAGTTTGGCAGGTGTCTGATTTACCCCGTTCGGCCTACTGTACCGCACCGCATGCAGGCGTGGTTAATCAGCCACCTGGTAAAGTTGTTCAACACAAAGGGATGATCAAGGTAACATGTGGCTGACCTGATATACACACGTTTGTGTGAGCCACTTTGATGTGTTATTTTACACGCTTCTACTGTTTCCAATATCTTACCCAGAGGCTGTTGTCAAGAGGCACATCTGCAATTGTCAGATTACCCGTCAGGCGTTGCAACTCGTTTGGTTTAAGTGGGTTGAAGTGACTAGCACGCAAATACCACGTCCATGCAAGCGGGCGATTGTTGGGTTCTTCACACATGTAAAAGCGTTCGCCGTAGGAAATATATGGTCCCTATTCGAAAAGGGAGACGTGAAACCGGCTCGCCTTTAGGCCATTGGTTTGACAAACACATACGTACAGTCCGTATTTTAAATTGGCGTTCAAAAAAATTGTATTACATAACTTACTACCACAGAGTTGAAGGCTTTGCCGTGGATACCCGTCTGGCTCACGAGTGCTAGGCCTGATATGAGTATGAGTGACATACTGGATCGCCGGAATACCAGCAATAGAACAGCACAAGAAAGATTTGTAAATCAGATGGTGGTGATGGTCGCCTTCCCCCTGCAAGACACCCCGTGCTGCGGCACCGTTCACGGGCCGAACACGACTAGCAGTGAAATAGAAATAAACAAGTGGATGGGGACTCGATCGGCATTGGATTTGAAACGGCGATAACAGAGACGCAGCATAAAAAAGTCCCTCAAAGTATTTCCGGTCTGCATCTCGTTGACAGCCCTTGCGTTTACATCCGATTGTGCAGTAACTCGCGTGAGGTGAGCATTGTGCATGCCACCCGAGCACGGAAAAAAAGTGTTAGTTGTGACAGCTTATATGTTCGCTGGCATGCGCGCAGCGAACATTTTAGCAATGGCAGTGACGCGCGTTCGTCACGAGAGCCAAAAGCACATTAGTTGTTGGGACAACCAACACGATTATAGTTGGGACAACTAACACATTAGTTGGGACGACTAATGCGGCACCAGTGAAAAAATATTCTTTTAAATACGTATTTTCATTTAAAAGAACACATATGAATGGCAGTTTCCGACTCTTTCACGATGTTTGACGGCCATCTTTGATTATTTCTGGAATCGTTTTGATACTTATTTAGCTGCGACTCAAGCGGGAGTCGAACCCCCGTTCGTCCGGCTGCCAGGTTAACTCGGAGGTACTGGGCCACCCGTGCGCGATGACGTATGAAAGGAGTGTAGTCAGTCAGGTAGAAAGCGCCGAAGTCAAACGTATGCCCGCGTAAGCACATCCAGCTAATCACATTCGCTGAGATAGGCAGTATTCTTAAGCTAATATAGGCGAGCACGCATAAGTTGTAACAACCACTCTAATTTAGCTAGGTTCGACGATCGTAAGCTGAAGCTGACAATATCAGATTCGTTCTATGGGAGTCAATATGCAGTTGGTTGCGACAGCTACTGAAATGTTCGTTGCCTCGACTAAGTAGTTGGCCGAGTTAGCGAAGAATGTTCGCTATGTACATCGTGGTAGGTTGCGACAACCAATGCTTTTTTTTTCCGTGTTGTATTCCATCAAATCGCCTTGCAACGGGTGCAGCGTAGCGTGCAGCATGGTGTGCACTTGCTTACTTCTAGCGAAACATTATCCTCAGACCCTCAGACTAAACTTGCATATTTCGCGGCCGGCGCGTATCCATAAGGGGGCTCTATAGTCAATTTCTAGAGCGATCCACCGGCAAGCAGGCAAAGCGAATCGCGGCCTCACCGGGCCTCACGCAACTGGTGTCCTGGTGTTGACAACGAAGTTCCACGCAGGAGGACTGCGATCCTGCTATGGGTCATGAACCTGGAGCGAGCCCTGGGTCGTAAAGGACCGCCTGGATGCTCTTGCCTTCCCGAAGGACAGGAACGAGTTTGGCTGATTAGGGGGGGGGGGGGCTCCCATGGGCGAACACACCCGTCCCTTTATCGTAATTGGTGGACGGGGGACTAGTTCTGGACAGAGAGGACGCGGTCGCCACACTCGCACAGGTCTGCAGGTGCAGGGCCGCTAGGGCCGCTAGGGCCGCTTAGGGCCGTCCCAATATAAAGGGAGACGTCCGCCTAGTTCGGCACAGCAGTCGCCTCGAGTCTCTCCTAGCCAGTGCTTCCAAGTGAGTAGGGGCCTTCCCCGCAGAGTGAAAACCTGGCATGAGAGCAAAGTGAACTTGACCGTGAAACGGCCAAATTGACTTTGCTCCCACGTCGCATTGAGTTGCGATTTCGGACACCGCGAGCTACGTGCCCATCAGCCTGTGCTTGGTCTCCTGCAGGACCCGCATCCACCACGACAACATGAAGTGCTTCGTGATCCTCGCGTGCGTCCTGGCCGTCGCCGTCGCTCAGCAGCAGGCGTTCACCGACTGCGCCGCGGACCCCCAGAAGTGCGCCTCCGAGTGCAGGAAGGACCCCCAGAAGTGCGCCGGTGAGTAGAACTCACTGAGTACTCCCCGCCGGGCGGGAGTCGTGTCCCCCGAGAACTCTCCTCCGAGTGGACGGTGCGCGCCCTGACAGGGGGTGCGGTGGCCCCCGGGGCCCCGGGCTAATGGGCTGGGCACGTCACTCGACTGGAAGTGCTGGTCTGCCTTCTCTCTCGCACTCACCTCCTCTCACCTCTTCCTCTCTCTCTCTCTCTCTCGCAGCTAACTTCGGAGGCGGCTCTCTGCCCTCCGGCATTCCGTCCATCCCCAACCTGCCCGACGGCGTCCCCGCCGTGCCGGCCATCCCCGCCGTGCCGTCCATCCCCGGCTTCCCGGCGATCCCCGGCGCCGGCTCCTCATCATCGACGGCCGCCCCGTCGTCCTCCTAGACTCCTGAAAGCAGCAGGACTACGTCATTAGATGACAAGAAACTTCACGATCTCTGTAAACCTCCCGCCTGACCTGACTACAATAAATGTTATGTTATCGTATCTCCGCCGTTTCTCAGTCGACGACCTTCATTGATTTTTCACAACCCACACTCAGTAAACCAAGATTGGTCTCCCAGTGGGAAAGAGCAATTCAGTTTGATGAAAGATCAGTGTTCATACAATGGCCATACATTCCAAATCTAGACAGTAACTGCATGGCAATTAACTCGCTGGTCATGAAAATTGGCTTCGGTGGCAAATTGCTAAATGACTGACACCAAATTTATCTGTGTGTTTATTTTTGATAATTATTAGAACTACATCACACACTCACTGCATTGTGCACAACCACATTTGTACAGTATTTACACTGATGCACAACACACCATTGGGAAGCACTACAACCAAATAGAAAAATATCTTCCTTTGATCATACATAGACAATTCCTGAAAATATTGATTTAACTTTCTTCCCTTAAGAAATTGAAAAGAAAAACCAAAATTACATTGACCATTAAAAAATTGAGCAAGTTTGACTCAGATGAATACTGGTTTGGGATTGCAACATAGTCCATGCTCACAACAGACTAACAAGTTAGGGAATGAACAATAGACAGACACATGCACAAATTTAAACTGAACCATTCATGTGTGAATCCAAGGAGGAACTTGAATTCCAGGAACATTTTAAATGACATTCTGGATGAGCAATCACACTTTTTAAAAAATACAATAAGAGGAAAAGTGTTCACAAATTAAGCAAAACTATTTCTAGAGACATTTTGTCAAAATCTTATATTAACCTCAACGACTAGAGCTCCAAAAAAACAAAGGGGTACATGTCAGAGCAACAGAAATTTTCCTGTTCCTTTTGAGTACTACTCTAATACATGTATGAGAAACATTCAGGGAAGACAAACTGAGACTTTCTTTCAAGTCAGTGAAAGGTTTGAATAAACAATGCCTGACTAGCAAAATATTAGCTTTGGATAATGACGCAGAATTAAGGCACACACATTGTTTCATTGGTAAATAAGTAGCCATGGTTAGATAAAATATTTGGTTTAGCAGAGCATGATACAAAATAGAAGAGGAATGTACGTAATGTTGTAACATCACAACCAAAATAGTGATAAATGAGAGAAACAATGACAATGATGACTTAGTGGTTGCTATGCTAAATAAAGTAGTTACATACAATATAATGGAAATGTAGAGAGGACAATGCCAACGTGAAATGGGAAAGACAGGAATTCTTTGTACAGTGGCAGAAACCGACTTCTTTGTTCAAATCTTGTTTAGATCTTTGGTGAGTGTAAAGAAAAAAAAAGACTTTTGAGTCATAAGTTCACAACCTTGAGACACACCGTAACTTTAAAAAAAAAAAAGGGTATAAAAATAGTTCTTAAGAATAGGGGTTGTTTTGCTAAAGACTGTTTCAGTATCAAAAATATTAGTAGTGGGCAGTCAATCTTTGTTTCAGGTATATCATGGGCTTAACAATTTGGTTTCAAAAATTCTCCTTAGTACAGAGAGCAATCATCTTTGGAAGAAATTAATACCATGGAATGTTAGGTCTGAATGGAAGGAAAAGCCTGCACAATCAGTCATAAGTACCATGATAACATAATGATATGCCTAGGCCTCTCAGACAAGTTTGGAGTTTCAAGACTTAAATAAAGGCATAATTTATCAATACTAGCAGTCTTTTCAGGATACTCTTTTCCGCAGTAAAAACGACAAACATTTAGTCTTTCTTGAGCATAAAAATGGCTTTGAGAAGAAAAAATTCAATTGGAATGTTAAGTTGTCTTTTGACAACAAATATTGCAGATCTGACCAATGCACAAAAGTACAATGATCAAAATCTTTGCTTTAACTAGAATACATATCATAAATTAAGCCAAACTTCCCTTTGGAAATTGAGAAGAAAAAGGAATAAATAAATAAATACTTAAATAAATATAAAAATAAGTTACATATCTCACATAGGTCTTGGTGAGTTTACCCCATTCAATGGAACACTGATGCTTTGAGCACCTGAATTCAGGCTAAGCTATCCCTGCAAAGTTTACTATCACAGAGATTGTGTGTAGGAAGTACCTCAACACAAACTCAAAGACACAACATTTTTTTAATACCTTAGGTACATGACTTAATAACTAAAGTGAATGTATGCATTCTGTGGACTAGTCTTGAGAAAATGTGCTGGAAGACTCAACAGCCTTCACAAGAGAGAATACTTTGGTGCAGTAAGTTACTAACAAAATAAAGTTCACAGTATAAGTTACTGTTACTAAAATAACCAAACAAATTAACTGACTACTAGTACCTAGAAAAAAAAAAGACAAATAAACCCAAATAGGCATGAAAAATGCGAGGAAAATCATTGGGCTAGATGACTAAAATAAATATGGAATGTTTACAAAACAGCTCCTGTGCATTAGTTTTGCTTCAATGGAATAAGATGAATATCAGGGTTCTGGTTAAGGCGAGCAAGGGCCCTAGCATCAATGGAACCATCAACCCTCACCTTCAGCTCATCACCTACTTCAGCCTTCTCTTCTTTCACACGAACTTCAGCAGCAAAGTGCTGACCACAATGAGCAGCCAACAAATCATGAAGATGGACTGTGCCTAGGATGTTTGTATCAGCTGATGGTGCAGCCGGTGACAAGTGAGTACGAACATGGCGATTTAACTTATCGCGACGGTGGAAAGACTGGTCACAATAGTCACATTTAAAAGGCTTCAAACCTGCATGTGTTTTTTCATGTCTAGTTAGCTCAGCGCGAGAGAAGAAGGACTTAAAGCACTGAGAGCAACAATGTGGGCGTTCACCAGTATGACACATTCCATGCCTAGACAACTCATCTTTGCGTGAAAATACAGCAGGGCACTGAGAGCAATTAAAGTTTTTTGGTTCACCATGTGTACGTTCATGACGCATAAGTTTGTCTGATCGAGCAAAAGCTTTATTACAGGTCTTGCAAGTAAAAGGCTTGATACCTGTGTGCACAGCTTCATGACGAAGCAGCTCTCGTCTACGAAAGAATCCTTTACCACAGTAGCTACATGCATGAGGTCGGATACCCAAATGTGTGAGTTGGTGAGTTTTCATGTAACTCTTGTCTGCAAATTTCTTTGGGCAGTACTCGCATGCATAGGGCTTGGTATTTTCCTGGATATTACCATCCATGTCATTCTCATTGGGAGAAAATTCTTCCTTCTCATACTCGGACTTGATGGAAGACAAAGGAAAGTTAGGTGGTATGTCTGATTCTTTCAAGCTAGAATCCATTCGCTCCATTTGAAATGGATCAAGGCTTATAACCATTGATTCAACACCTGCTTGTTTTTCACTTTCTTCGTGTTTAAGGGCATCACAAGTTTGGTTATCAGAATTGCCTTCATCAATAGGGTCCTCGCATATTTGCAGCTGGTTGTCGGGCTCAGTGTCAACAGTACTTTCATCATCATTAAACTCCATGCTCTCAGACTGCTGATCATTGAATGCATCTTTTTTAGAAGGCATGCTTAGATCAGTTGCTTCCTCCTGCACTGGCTGATCATCACCTTTAAACATCATACCATGGGGGTTAAAAGGATTCCCTGAAGAGTGAAGCCTTTCATGTCGAACCAGTTTATCTTTACGGTTGAAGGATAAGTTGCACAAAGAACAGGAATATGGCTTTTGACCAGTATGAATGATTTCATGCCGATGCAAGTCACCTTTGGTTCTGAACATTTTGGGACATTCATTACAACAGAAAGATTTCTGACCAATGTGAACTCTCATGTGTTTGTTGAAATTTGTGCTCCTGGCAAACTCTTTGGGACAAATTTTACATTTGAATGGTCGTAAGCCAGAATGAATGACTGAGTGCTTGATCAGATCTGATCGAGTGGCATACGCTTTGTCACATGTTAAACATGAGAAGGGAAGACTGGAATCATGACTCTCCAAGTGATTCTCCATTAAGTCTTCACTAGAAAAGACTGTTTCACATAGAGGACACTGCAGAGGATTTTCCCCACTATGGACCTGCCAATGAGCATCTAAGAGACTTCTTTCAGAGAACACCTTGTCACAAATAGAGCATGCGTAGGGAGAGTCATTGGCATCATGTGCAGCCTCATGAGACTCTAAAATATCAATGAAAGGGAATGTATCCTTGCACATTTTGCAACGCAAACGTATCTCATCTTCAGACGAATCAGATCTATCAGAAAGGTCATCGTCCATTTTGTCATATTGATGTGCCTCACCTTCACCTTCACTTTTCACTACTTGGAGGTCATCACAATCAGCAAGTGATTCCAAAAGACCAGAATCCACATCCTCTTCAGGTGAGACAGTTGGACGTTGGTGAATAATAGCTGAAAGTTTAGACTGCAAAATGTTGAATTTTACCTCCTTGTGAGCTTCTGACAACTTGGCTTTCTTGGTTGGACCACCTTCTATCACCTAAAAAGATATCAGAGAAATTAAATTATAGTACTAAAATACGAACAAGTTCAAGTTTTAATCTCATTGACTGGCGCTTACCGAAGACAAATCCACAAGCCCATGGAATGTGCCATCCACTTTATCTTCTTTTGATGAATGCAACTTTTTTCCAGCAGAAGCTGCACCATCAGAGGGTAAGTCTTCATGCTAAAAATTACAATAGGAAAAACACACAAGTATGAAAATATTTTCTTATCATAGTTTAAAAAATTTGCTTGACTGCAAGTGAAGGCTTACTCTTTTCTTAGATTGATCAAGAGTTTGTGCAACATACTGACGAAGAATTTTATCTGAGGTTACACATTGCTCTTTAAAGTCATAAGAACGCTCCACTTGATACAAGCACCTATGGCAGATCTGTGCTGGGAGAGCATCTCCTTCAAGAACCTGAAACAAATGATACACAGCTTTAATAAGACACAATAATATTCTATTCATTGTAATCATGCTCCACAATTAAATATAACTAAAGGATAACTTTGAACATAATGTTTACATCTATGCGCCAAATCAATTACAACTGCCAAATAATTTAACGCTATGATAAGACTTGAAAATAAAATCAGCATGTTATGAAGTTTAAGGAATTAATGATTAATTCTAGCATGATTTGGCTGAGCGCCTGAATTTAAAAAAAATAATTAAATAAATGAATGAAGTATTGTGATTTTCAACGCCTGGCAGCCCCACAAAAGCAATTTCCCAGGGCATTATGAAAAAGAGTTGGTGTGCAAAGGGCAAGGATTAACAGCGGCCGTAATGGTAAAACTAAAGTTAAGCACACACAATTCAGAAATGAATTATATTTCAATTTTTTTTCAGATGGAATGTGAAATACTGAATAAACTTTATGATTTACTGGTTGGTTTCAAGTAGTTAAGCTTAAAGTTTGAGCTTTAAGTGGCCTGGATATTGCGGCTGCCAAGAACGAGTTGTTTTTGGAACCCTGATATGCTCTCATTAAACGATTCATAGCAATCAGAAACAATAGTTTATTTTTTTATTTTCACCTAAAAGAATTTCAAATAGTCTTCAATGAGTGTTAGGATGAAAACGTTAAAGGAAACGGAATTTAAGATTCCTGGCCGGTAGAAGTAATGAAACAGTGGGAGAACACTAGCGGGTCTGCTTAATGAATGAGCAATGAGCAGATGGTAAGACAAAGGAAGCCACACAGACAGCCTTTGTTCCATCACAAGTCACCTAAACTATTAATGGTGATATCTATGGCAGATATTGATCCAAAACAGGTATGAGTGAAATATTTTGGCGCAGCAGTAATGCCTTAGGGGTTGTGTATCAAACGCTTATTCATTTTATTGTCAAGATATGAGAAAACCGTTACGGCTCGGCGCGAGTGACAGATGTGCGGCGCAAACCAACAACACCAAAAACAATAACAAAACCTATGGGCTTTGGGCCAGGAACGACCAATAGAGAACAAATTCGATTAAAACGAACAATATCATGAAAGAAAAGTGCATTCGACGAGGCTTCGGGACACGCCACAGAACAAAGGCCCGAAGACCGAACAAGCTTGGCGGGTTGTTGAGCATCACTGGGTCCTAGGTCAACAGCAAGGGGGTTGAAGCCCAAGCACTTTATCGACCCTCGGGCGCAGAGTCCCGCTCAACTACGCAACCGGCAAAACTTGAATCATGCGAAAGACAAAGGACACTACGGCACGAGTTTTTAACTCACCTGGATGGGCACACAGGCCATGATCCTGAGGGGCAGGGTTGGCTGGGGTTGGGCTGGCTGGGGCGCGCTTCGGCTGCCCTCGCCACCCCCAACGGACTCCTGGAAAATGGGAGAAAGGACTCCTCCCTGTCCTAAGCATAGGCGACACGTCTGTTGTAGGTTCATCTTGATTGAAACAGGCAACACAATCCGAGCAAAAACAGTCGTTTACAACAGTCCTCATAGTCCAAAATCTACTGCGAAGCACTCCCGCCCCCCATGGTCACTCATCCGCCATAACGCCTTTATGTTGTGTGTACCCCCGCGCCGCGAACCCCGCGAGGCACCGCGGCCGGGACGGGACGCTAGCGTCGCCCCACCCCTCTCCTCCCCTCACCATCACCCCTCCGCCCCATCCCGCGCCCTCGCAGCCCCCATGCGCCCCCCACCCCTAGCGGGCACCGTTGTTGTCAAATTCAGCGTGCGTCGCCTTCTCGAATTGAAAGACGTTTCGGAACGACAAAATAGCAGTTTTCTGACAGCTTTCACACTTTCCCCTCGCGCAATTTTTCAACTGCCGGTATATTTCACCTCTGCGTTGATTTAACTCAGTCATACAAGCCTCGACGTTCTTGGGAGCGTTTTTCCAGCGGGGCCCTTCGAGGGTTGCGGGTAGCCTCATTAACAGCAAGAAGAAGAAAAAGAAGAAGAAAATCGAGTGTTCGTGCTGTGTTGCCGCCATATTGGTGAAGCAAGTGTTTATCCATAAAGTTTTATTGGATATTTATATAAATCTTGAGGATTTTTCGTGAAATTTGTGTTGCCTTGGTATTTAGTGACTCCTTTTAATACCGAGTGATCATCGGAAAACCATATCCACCGGATTTCAAGCACCCAGCAAGTTGTGCGAAGTCTTCTGCCAGCGAGAAATTGTTGCTAATACTTTAGGCCTTGTCGGTTTCAAACCCTGCGTTGTTCATGTAAAGCTGGACTTAACTAGAATCCGCTATATGTGTGACTCGTCCATCTCTTCGGAAACTTTTTAAATATCATCCCTTGTCGTCCTACCAAGTTTGAATCAACGTTAATGTATGCATTGTTGAGAGGGTCTGGGCTAGCCTAATGTACCCTAAAGGGTTGTACAGGTCATGCTACCGACTATTTTGTTCCACTGGAGTGCTAAATGTGAGTCCCAAAGAACTTACTGACCTCTCACATCCCCGAAAGCTGTCCTAAGACCATCAAAATGTCTGGCAACACAAGATTGAGCATGTCAACCCTGCAGAGATGGTTGTTTCTGCTGGTTGTTATTGTTATCTGTTTTGGTAAGTTGAGTTTGGTTTTCTTGCTATCTTTGGGCTTGTGTACCCACCCTATTATCCCCATAATCTTTATGTCATAGTTCATCACCATTTTCTCAATTAGGTCAAGGGGTTTCATTGTCTTATTTCATGCATAGTTAAGTGCCCCCCATCTTGGAAGTTTTACTGTTTTCCTTAATTTTAAAACGATACTCATGGGTCGGTTCCTAAATTATTCCAATTTAATTCTATGAACTTTTTGTAATTTTACACTTTTTTCTGGGACATTCAATAAATTTTTGTTTATGTTGTCAGAATTTGCAACATGTAAATAATTACGTCTGCCTTTTTACAGTACATCACACTAGCACTCATGCTATTTTGGTGACAAACCGTTGTGAGTTTCATAATGAAACTATGTGCCTCGAATCAGAAAGTGGCTGCAATGGAACTCAGGAATGCAGCAATGATGAAACTAAACGCCACCATTGTTTTGTGCTTTGGCAAAATAATTCTAAAGGACAACCTTATGTCAAACTCAAGGTAAGCTTACAAATAAACTAATCAGCTAATTTTAAATTTATAACTAATGTTTTTGCAATATAAAATAATAAAACTTTACTTGAACAGGGATGTTTTCTCAACAACATGGAATGCTATAACCAGCCCAGATGCGTGGAGAAGAGGGAAGGCCCTGAGAAAGATATGTTCTTTTGCTGTTGTGAAGGGGACATGTGTAACAAAGAGTTCACCTGGGAGCCCACTCCCGCACCCCCGCCAACCCAACAAAGTAATTTTTACCTTTAATTTACTGCCAATTATGGACCTTTGACATGATTTGCTTTGTAACTCTACCATGGTTTCTTTTTCTAGCACCTGTTCCTGCAGCTAATCAAGAATTTAAGTATATTTTAAGTATACTCTTGGTATTGCTGGTTGTAGCTGTCATTACAGCTATCACTTACTATGTTTGGAGACGACACAAAATGGCTTACTTCAATGAGGTAAAGTTTTTTTTTCTCCTCCTGATTAGTATATCTTCATTTATATTCTATTCATACTTGCCCTATAAATATGCATACACCATCCTCTAACTTAAAATAAGATTTAAATTGATGAGAACATATTTAGACACCTATCTCAGTAGATACCTCAATAAACAATTAGGGTCACCCATAGTAGGTGTAGGATATGGATACATATATATTCATTGGTCTTATACGTTTGTCCATGCCTCTCCTTTATGGGTGATTCCTGTTCAGTGGGTGAGTGACATGTTTTCCATTCATTTTGCATGCGTGATTGATTGTCTAGCGTTGTTTTACTGAAATGAGATGTTCAAAACCATACTACAAATGCAAAGGCTGTATATTTGATCATCTCCTATTTTGCAACTTTATATGGGCTGCTATTTTTATTTCTAGAGTGGTACTAAAACATGACACTGCTTGTGTCTGTCCACTTTTAGATTTGCTGTAGCTTAGCTGTGGATCCACCACTCAGGAACTGTCAATGGTTCAGTTCATGCTGTGCTTAGAATTTGCATCTGTTATGTTGGATCAAACTGATCAGAATTTGAAAGCAGATGTGCAAAACAATTATTATTTTTTCTAAGAAGGTTTTATGATTGTACATTTTTTATCTAAAGAAACAGACATGGTGTGGGACAGTTGACTTTTGTTGAACAAAAGAAATAGTTTCCCACTTTATCAAAAGCATGCTTGCCCATGAAATACCAAATGAAATACTCATGTTTGCCTTGTCGTTTTATGACCTATCTATTCCATCTATCATTAAAAACACATGCATTCTCTTTCTTTACCACTCACTTTTATTCATTCTATCTTTTATCAAATGTATGAATTGTTTTTGAATCTTATGGTGAGACTTGGGTGAAATGGGTCAATCAAAAACTGTCTTCCAAAATGATTATTCTGTTACAGTATTTTAAGAGTAGCCAAATATTTTTCCCTTTAAGATCTACAGCAGTCCCCACATATATTTTATCTTCCACATCTGAATATCTTATCTTTTGGGGACTCCATCAACAAGAAGTTGTTCTTACGAGCATTGCCACATACAGTTACTTGTTAAAAAATCACGGTAAAACAACTTTCACACAGCATTTAATCTTGATTCGTTTTGCATTAAGGTAATTTCTTCGTCAATATTTTTCATTTGATTTCACCCAAGCCTCACTTTAAGTTCTGTAGTTATAGCGTTACTCAGTAAGCTTTCAAAGAGGACACTGAACAAAATGTGAAATTCGAATCCTAATTAAGTTTGAATGATCTCAACAGATATAGAAAATCAAGGGTGCTTGCACAATCACTGTTAAAAGCACTGTTTAGTATTTTGATTGCACAAATTCTCTCTTTCTTTCTCTTATATCACCTTTGTAGTGTGTATTGTTTCAAATTGTATGCTAAATGTTCGAGGTTGCTTACAGGTACCGACCATGGAGCCAAGGCCCCAAGCTCAAGATGCTCCCTCCCAAGGTCTACTCCCTATCCAACTTCTTGAAGTGAAAGCTCGGGGTCGCTTTGGAGCAGTCTGGAAAGCACAATATCGGACTGAAACTGTTGCTGTCAAAGTCTTCCACATTCAGGTATTAATTGCTCTCGCCTTCTTGAGGTTGGCAGGGCATGTCTTTCAAATTGATTAATTGGCAAGGTTCACTTTGAAAGACAGTATTCAATCATATCTGATGTTTTAATGGCATTTATAAGGTGTACACTGTGTTGAGGATGCCTTATAAACAATCTAAATAAAAGCTCTTGATAGCTTTTGTTGAGCTTTTATCGCTCGGTAGGACAAAGTAAACAGGCCTACCTTCCACTTAAAAAGCAAAAGAAATTTTTAAAAAAATGGAATTTGTGACTTGACAGCTATTTTGTTACAAGTACTTTAAATGTACTTTTCCACCTTCCTTTTCATTCATTTTTGAAATTGTTTGTTTCCTAGTCATTTGTTGTTTTACCGATATTTACAAACTAATGAAAATGATTAGTAAATGTGTGTTGAATTTTCCAATCTTTGCTGATGAAGTCCTAAGAAGAGTTGTTATCATGCCTTTTTTTAATCAAAAAGTGTGATGATTTATAGGAAAGGCAATCTTGGGTCAGCGAACAGTTAATATATCAGTTGCCTGATATTGATCACCCAAATATTCTACACTATATTGGTGTTGAACAACATGGAGATAATTTGCAGGCAGAATTCTGGCTTATTACTGCATTTCATGAAAAGGGCTCCCTATGTGATTGGTTGAAAGCCAATATTGTTAGCTGGCCAGAGCTCTGCCGTATTGCTGAAACTATGGCAAGGTATACTCAAGTGAAAGCATTTCAGTTAACATACCTAATTTCCTCAGAAAAAAAAAGCAATATCAACACTGCAATTTATTTATTTTCTTCCCCCAGAGGGCTTATGCATTTACACGAAGAAATGCCTCCAAGAAAAGGAAACTGTTACAAACCAGCTATTGCTCACAGAGACTTTAAATCTAAAAATGTCTTACTGAAGTCAGATCTCACTGCATGCATTGCAGACTTTGGTTTAGCTCTGTTATTTGAACCTGGAAAATCATGTGGTGATACTCATGGCCAGGTAAGTTGATCTGCATTTCACGTCATAATAATTTATATCTAACTAGTAATCTTATGTCGCTCACTTGTGTTTTCTTTATTATTTAGGTTGGTACAAGGCGCTACATGGCACCTGAAGTGCTTGAGGGGGCCATCAACTTCTCTCGTGATGCCTTCTTGCGCATTGACATGTATGCATGTGGACTTATACTGTGGGAGTTGGCATCCAGGTGCACTGCTCAAGAGGTAAATTTATTTGCAATCTTGTTATGTTTTGTCTTTATGTAGGGATTTTCATTATTGTCTGTATGTTATAGGGCCCCATTGGTGAGTCTCGCCTACCATTTGAAGAGGAGGTGGGAAAACGCCCTACTCTTGAAGACATGCAGGAATGCGTTGTGCACAAGAAGCAGAGACCAGTTTGCCCAGATACTTGGAAGAAGCATCCGGTTTGTATTTTCATATAACATAGCTTGCTGTAATCGGTTACTTGTTTATTTGTTGCTAATATGCTTTACAAACATTTCTTTAATTTTTCAGGGCCTTGCTGCTCTCTGTGATACAATGGAGGAGTGTTGGGATCATGATGCAGAGGCAAGACTTTCAGCTTCATGTGTAATGGAGAGAGTACTCAATCAACAGCGGCTAATGACTCAGCCGTTACCACAGTTCATACCACCATTGCTCAACATTGGCTCTTCAGACATCCCACCAGGCTGTCCGAAGGATGCTAGCTTGTAAATAATATTTGTTCAGCTGTTGTGAGTTGCTCACATTACCATTTCTACCTCAAATTAACACAGCCATGTTGGATGGCTCTAAAATGCAGGTTGGTTTTGTTTGTTTGTTTTTTAAAACTAGCAGGTGAATATTTTATGAGACAATAAGTTAATCTGTTGTAATTGTTACAGGATTCATCAAAGACTGAACTTTTAATATGTGTTCTTTGAGTGCATTCATCTGCTGTGTGTTACTGTGCCAATGTAATATAGAATTGTGGACAGGAGTGTTTTGTTTTCTATAAACTAGTTCAAGAATTTTAGGGTGGGATAGTTGAATAAATGAATTACTGAGTGCTTCAAGAGAGAAGAAAATTAGGTAGAGATCAGTTAATAGTTCAAAGAATTATGTGGTCATCATTATGAAGACTTTCATACCGAAGATGAATGCTGTAGACTGCACTAGTGTGATGTGAGACATAGTGAGAATGGAAGATTGAAAATGGGCAGTGCCCATTTTAAAGTCTCTTTTGTATTCAGTATTTTGTTACATAGATTAAAGCGCATCAATGGACAGCACATATAAGCCACCCTTATTGCCAAAAGACAAAAATAGTAAAACAATGAAAAAAAAAAAAACAGAAAAAAAACGAACAGTTGTGTAAATGGTTTAAAGTTTTTGAAACAGGGACAGTATTTTTGTTGTGTGGGTTTTCTTTTCTTTGTTCGTGGTCAACATTAATATTCATTTCAAATTTAAAAAGTTAAAGTTACCTACATGTTGGAGTTCCCCTTTGAGACATTGTATGTGTTGATGGCATTGATCTCCAAATTACTGTCCATTTCAAAATCAAAAGCACTTTGTGTTTGTGAACTGCAATTTCTAAACCTGCCGAATGTGTGTGTATGTGTGTGTTTGTTTGGGTTTCTTTAAATCCCATTTAACTCAAAAATTTTAACTATTATCTATTTGTTATTTATTCTACCACTATTGTAGGGCATGCTTTGACTGTGGTAGATATTCTAATAAAATATGGTTGTGTGTGATCTTTGTTGGCATAGATGTTAGTCCGTCCAGAATGAATGCATGGGTTAAGCAGCAGGAGTTGATATTTCGAGGGAACTTCAATGAAGGTAATCTTCAGCTTTTAAAGGAAAATTTGAACTGGTGAAGGCAGCAATACTGAATAGTGCACTCATCTTTTCAATAAAGAAAGACTCTGTGATATAACAGGATACTATTTACACTGTGTTGACGCATTAGGCTGCCTTAAGACACAGGGTGGTTTATTAAAAAATTACTTGACAATTTCAGATTGTGAAAGTGTTCTCTAGAGACCCTGATTTCATTTTTGCAAATTCTGTCAGTGTTATACCAGTTGAAAACTGTGAAATGTGTAAGGTTTGTTTGCTTCTTATTCTCTTTCACTTTTTATGGTACTGTATCTGTATGTTGTTGTGGCTGCTTGCCTACACCTTTGTACTTTTGTATTTTTCTCTTGTTATCATAAGCAGTGTGAATAACTTTGTTTTCTGGATTCCGTTTTTGTTTTGCTGTTGGCTTGAGCGTAAAGTGATCACTGCAAATTTATATAAACTCTCTATATGAAAATGTTAGCTGTATTGTTTTTGTGTTATGACTTAAGTTGCATGTTAGTTAAATATTCTCCAGTGCTCATTCCTGTACCCTGAATGTTGGGATTTTGGAAAGGGAAAGACCAAGTTCCTATTTACAAATTTTTACATTTTTCTTTTCAAAGAAATAGATTTTAATTGATGACGTTTTCTTTCTGTAGAGTACTATAATATTTTTATTTTGGTGTTATAATTGTTGGTTGGACTTTTTATACTGTGTTTCGTGGCAGCTTTCTCTCATAGCTACCAGATTTTGCAATCCATATGGGCTTTTTATTTATTCATGCTGGTGTGGTATTTATTTTGAAGCCATTGCCATGCGCACACATTCACCTCTTTAGGTTGAATACTGCTTGAACTCCAAACTGGTTGTCTTACAGAACTCTTAACACATTTCTCTTGGAATAAAGTGAAATTTGTCATTTTCACTTTGGAGCTTACAGATGTTCTGTTCATCAATTTTTCATGTACGTCTGCAGTTACCAAATTCATATTTGTTATTGTGAACATGGTTTCGTATTCAAAAGGTACTGTGGGATAGCATTGAGTGGTGCAGGTTCACAGGATTTCCATCTGCTATTATTCGGGTTCTTGGTGGAATTTCATTTCAAGTGCATTATTTAAAAAAAGTCACTGGGTCAACAAGCACTTGAGAACTCACTTCAAAGTACAGTCTTATTTCCACCTCTATTATTATCTATCTTATAGATATTCATAATATCTATATACACTGATAATTGGTACGTGTATTGGGATCCATCGTTGCAAACTGTTTTGGCACATTGTACTTAAATTTTCTTTTCTTTTTTTTTGTCACCGTAGAACCCTGAACATTGATAATAATTTGTTGGACTCCTCTTAATGTAAATTTTAATGGGAACCTCTTCAATTATGAGTTGGTAATCATCATTAACCTGTATGATCACTTTTTGCTTCCCAATCTGGTTACCTAAGGTCAACTGGCACAAATGATTTTCATAAGAACCACCCTACATATCTGAGGACAGAATTTAAGAACTGAACAGATTCTGCCTTTGTTTTCATTTTCATACTTTTTTAAAAATCGCATTGGTAGCTATTTAATAAGTACATAGTGAATGTTACTGAAGTATTTGAGAGTTTGTGGTGTTAGGTATTCCCTTTCCTTGTTGTGAATTTTGCATGGACTTCAGTTAATGTGATTTTACAATAGGCCTGTTGCTTAAGTCATCTCTATCAGATTTTATGTTTTGACTCCCTTAGTATATTTTTTTGCCAAAAGTTTATGCTACTGTGGGTATTTAAAAGTAAGTTGATTGTATGTAATTTTCATATTACATATATAATGAAATGATGAATTGAGGATTGGTAGAATTCTTTCTAGATGGTTTTTTAAAATGTGCATATATGTGAAAAATTTATGACTTTTGTTCCTGTTTTTAGGTATAATGATGCCAAAAGAACAAGTAAACTGTCTTAATTATTTTAGATTATCCAAATGTCTTAATAAATGTGGAACTGAAGTACATTTTCCACTTGTCTATTTAGTTCATTAATAATGTGGATTCCTTGACTTTAACTGAAGCATCACCTAGATTATCACTGTTTGTCACACGAGGAATATCTTTGCACATAACTGTTGATCGAATTTCGTAAGAGGGCTACCCAAATCTTATAATTTAATGAAGTAACTTCCTTTCTCAAAGTAACAGCAAACCAACTCCCCTTCCCCCCTGGAAGTCATATCGTGTGAATGACTGAACTTTTCTCTAATGTTTTGCAGGGTGTGTATGATTATGTATAGACATTTTTACAACCTTGTAGGAAGACAAAACAAATTTAATTACTTAGTAACAGCAATTTTTTTTTTTTTTTTTTTTTTTTTGTTTTTTAAACAAAAGTCAAGTCATCATAGAATGAATCTTTTGTGTGTCTTGCTCTGCACTATTCAACTGCGTCATAGTGCAAGTATATTTATATACATAGTTACATACCATTGTATTATCAAATGGCGTGTTTCTATGTTCTTGTGATTCATTGTGATGATAGTAGCAGTTCAATCTGAATGTAAATTGCCAAAATCTTTGCTTATGCCTTGTTCTGTTCAGGCTGAAACAAGAACATCTAAACTGCATTTATGTTTCTCGTTCATAGAAATTCTATTCTACTCACCATTGTCTATTTCATAGAGGGGTTTGTTTCATGTGTTGGCACACTTTTTTTCTCTGGTCTTTACCCCTACTTACACTACACCATAACACAGCAAAGCGCTGAGTCCATCTTGATGATAGACTGATATTGCAACAAATATATTACTTTTATTGGTTATGACTTTATTATTGACTGATTGTTTTGTGTATGTTATAATTTCTGTTATCTCATTCTCTGTTGTAGTCTTTTGTTGGTAGTCCAGCAAAAATTAACAATAATTGAATGTTCATTATACTTGTTTTCTGCCCATCTTCAGCTTCTAAAATACAATTTTTGGAAACTTTTAAAGCATTAAGTACCGAAAAAGTTGCGACATTCTTCATTACGTTTTGATTCCAGAAAATGCCATTCTGTTGAAGCTTGAGAATTAAAGAGAAATGTTGGAATTTAAAAGAAAAATGGGACAAGAAGTTCCATATTTTTACTATCAAGGAGACTGTCTATTAACTTGAGTTTTGTAAATATACATAGTTGTGACAGAGTTTGATATCTATCAAAAATTAATGAACACTTGTACTGTAAGCAAATTCCCCAACATGATAGTACTTCCATGTAGCCTTTCAATGTTGTTTTTTTTTTCTTTTCTTTTTTTTTTTTTTTTTTTTCTTCTTCTTGCAACCTTGTCAGGACAGGACAGACCATGTAATTGTTGTACTTTTAGAAAAGAAGTGTTTACCGTTGTTGTGGTCATCATGTATTGCACCTGTCTGTATTCTTATGATATGTTGGCTGATCTTTGTTAGAGTTGTTTTTCTCCACCATTCAAAGGATAATCACAGTATATTTCAGGTTGTTGTTTAAATGGTTGTACTCATAACTGTATGCATGGGAGAATAAATTAATGTATGTGTCAAACAGTATTGCTTTAGTCTATTCCTACATTTTGCTTGTAGGAGGAGGAAAAATTCAACTTGAACACAACTTCCATTTTTAAATAAGAATATTTACATTTTCACTGGCTATTACACAACATGAATTGTACAGTTATTTTAGAATCGCATTAACATTGAATGTGCGTCTATTGCTTTATATATTGGCATAAACATTCTACGAAGTCATTAAGTTGTGCTATACATGGTACAAGGACAAGGGGTGTGTCATATCACATGGGTTGACCAAAGTCAACTAATAGTTTCAAAGCAATGCAAGTGTTTTCTTTAGTTTGAAAATGTATGCTCTTGGGCTGTACCTCAATGTCAGTCTCGTGCAAAATTCCTTTAGGAAATACCCTCAGGTCAAAATAATGCCACAGCAAATAGTTCTAATTTAGCACGATTTGACAAACTGTTTGCTGTATTCACATTGCACATTTTAGAGGAGCTCAAAATTCTAGAACATATCAGTTATACTGACTAAGCATATGCGTCGTGATAAAATGAGTATTAGTTCATAACATAGATACAAACAAGTTATATTCCTAATTCTGTACGGTGGCAAATCATGAGACTATTTACATATGATCCTGATCTCTTCCCATCCCCATCCCTCCCCCT